TGCCTCAGCTCAGGAGTTTGAGACCAGCCTGGGCAACATGGTGAAACCCCATCTCTACTAAAACACAGAAAAAAAAAAAAAAATAGCTGGGTGTGGCGGCATGCGCCTGTAATCCCAGTTATTTGGGAGGCTGAGGCAGAAGAACGGCTTGAACCTAGGAGGCACAGGATGCAGTGAGCCGAGATCTTGCCACTGCAGTACAACCTGGCGACAGAGCAAGACTCTGTCTCTCAAAAAAAAAAAAAAAAAAAAAAATATATATATATATATATACACACACATATATATATAAAACACAAAATAAGGTGATAAAAATAAATGCAAACATGTCAGTAAATAGAATAAATTAAAATTAATCAAATCTAATAGTTAAAAGAGATTAATAGGTCAGATTAAAATATCTAGTTTATGTTGGTTCTAAGATATTCACATAAGGACAAAGGCTGCATGTATGAGGAGAGAAATAGATAAGCCAGGAAAATATTAAAAGAAATCTGGGCTGAGCACAATGGCTCACGCCTGTAATCCCAGCACTTTGGGAGGCTGAGGTGGGTGGATCAACTGAGGTTAGGAGTCCGAGACCAGCCTGGCCAACATGGTGAGATCCCATCTCTACTAAAAAATGCAAAAAATAGCCAGGTGTGGTGGTGGGTGCCTGTAATCCCAGCTACTCGGGAGGCTGAGGCAGGAGAATTGCTAGAACCTGGGAAGCGGAGGTTGCAGTGAGCTAAGATTGCACCATTGCACTCCAGCCTCCAGCCTGCCTCCAGCCTGGGCATCAACAGCGAAATTCCGTCTCAAAAAAAAAAAAAAAAAAAAAGAAAGGAATCGGTAGCACAATAAAATCAGATAAAATAGAGATGGGGAAGAACAGTGGAAATAAAGAGAATTCTTATATAATAATACTTAGAAAAAATTATCCAGAATATTCTAGATTGTACGCACCTAATAACATGGCCACAGGACATCCAAATTCAAACAGAATTAAGAAGCTTGATCTGTAATTAACACACACAGATACAGAACTCTGTACCCAACAATAGCCACCATTCCAAGCACACAGGCAATATTTACAAAAACTGACCTGTACCAGGCCCCAAAGCAAATCTTGACCAGTGTCAGAGAATCCAAATCATATAGTCCACATTCTCTGACCACAAATGCAAATAAGATAGAGACCAGCAACCAAAAGTCACCAGAAAAGACCATTGTGGCTGCTAGGTAGAGAATGGGCAGTAGGTGGGGCACAGTGGAAGCAACTCAGTCCCAGGAATGGGTGGAGCGAGGTGGACAGGACAAGGGTGGGAAGAGCACGATAGAAGGAAGTGACTGACCATGTTGTTTGGTTAGGTGCAGCCCACACCCAGCACAGTGCCAGGTACCTAGCGATTGCCAGAATCCAGGTTTCTTCTAAAAAACAGGGTGAGATGCTAAATAAATGCTAGTTGAATGTGTTGGAATGAGCTGAAGCTCCGACCACACAGTGGGTTTCCGTGACCTGATAATGAACACCTCACCCCAGTTTACTGCGAGGTCAGCCAGCTCCAGGCCTATCCACCTGCTAAAATCTCCATGTCTCACATTCCTGCCCTTGTGGCTCATTATTTTGTAAACATTTTAATGAAATGTCTAATATAAGACTATACTAGGTGTTCCACACCTGTTACCTCATTTAATTCACCCCAAACCCTGTAAATTCAATCCAGTGAACTACACTGCTACAGATGAGGAAACAGGCAGGGCTCAGAGAGCTGAAGTAACTTAGATGAGGGTCATTCATCTAGTAGGCTATGTAGACACTCATCTCCCCTACTGCCTTTTCTTGCCCCCTTAGACAAGCAGTATGCTATCTTGGTTTAGGGATTAAGGATACTAATTCAAGTCCCAGATCTGTGACTCATCAGCCGTGGGTCCTTGTGCAAGTAATTTAACTGTTTCGCACCTCAGTTTATCCACATATAAAATGGGGATGATGATCATATAGCAGCTGCCACAAAGGGCTGTTATCAACACTAAATGGGTTAATACATAGGAAGTGCTTACAAGAGTGCCAAACATACAGTAAACTTCCCACAAATATTACCTGTTCAGCAATATTTACCTGTTTAAAACAATCAGTTGCCGGCACTGAAGGCAAAAACTCTGTGTAAACACTCTGCCCATTACAAATGTTACAGCAGTCAGTTTGTAACACTACCACTTTGGGAGGCTGAGGCAGAAAGATCGCTTGAGGTGAAGCACTTAAGACCAACGTGGCAAACATAGCAGAACCCTGTCTCTACTAAAAATACAAAAATCAGCCAGGACTGGTGGTGCACACCTGATTCCCAGCTACTTGGGAGGCTGAGGTACAAGAATTGCTTGAACCCGGGAGGCAGAGGTTGCAGCGAGCCAAGATCATGCCACTGCACTCCAGCCTGGGTGACAGAGCAAGACTCTGTCTCAGAAAAAAGAATCAGTTATGATCCCCAGAACAGAGTTGGCCAAATTAATCAAAATGGAACCAGAGGCTGGGCATGGTGGCTCACACCTATAATCCCAACACTTAGGGAGGCCAAGGCAGGTGGATCACCTGAGGTCAGGAGTTCAAGACCAGCCTGGCCAACATGGCCAAACCCCATCTCTACTAAAAAATACAAAAATCAGTTGGGCATGGTGGTGGGCGCCTGTAATTTCAGCTACTCAGGAGGCTGAAGCAGGAGAACTGCTTGAACCTGGGAGGAGGAGACCGCAGTGCGCTGAAATGAGGCCACTGCACTCCACCCTGGGTGACAGCGGAAAAAAAGAAAAAAAAAAAAAAAGGACCAGAAAAGCGGGAAGGCACAGACTGCCTTCCAGTTAAACATGCAGATATTATAGTTACATTCACTAAATGTTCACCCACCGATGAACATCACCTGATTTGTCTGTCTCAAGACATTCAGACAACCACAGATTCTGGAGTATCCCTAAAAGACTGTTACTAGGATACACAGTACACGCCCACATCTTGACCATCTCACCTCAAGCAGGGTTTCTCAACCAAGGCACCACTCGAATTTTAAGCTGGGTAATTCTTTGTCATGGGGGTCTGTCTTGTATGCACTGCAAAAAGTTTAGCAGTATCCCTGGCGTCTATCCACAAGAAACCAGTAGCAACACTTGACACCCCCATCCCAAGTTGTGACAGGCAAAAATGTCTCCAGATTGAGCCAAATAGCCTGAGGGACAAAATCACTCCTAGATAAGAACCAACAGCTCTAGTTTTCAGAACTGACTTTTCCAATGGGATGCAAAGCAGACCCTTTGTCCCAAGTTCTAGTGGCCTTAATATAATCGCTGGGGCAGGCGTCCGGTGAAGAAGGATGGTGGCAACAGATCCCGCAGGGCATCACACAGCCCACCTTACTCCCACACATGGTGCATGCAGATAAGCTGGAAGGCAGAACACAGTGGCCATTTCAGTCTTGGCTAATGAGAAGAAGCTACAAGGAAATCTGAGTGGGCACTTAAAACGCTCTGCCTCCAGAAACCGACTGCTGTAACATTTGCAATGGGCAGAACGTTTACACGGAGCTTTCGCCTTCAATTCGCCAAGCTTTCAGTGTCCGTTAATATTCCCAAAGGGCAGGGTTGGCCCTCTTCCATCTTCAAGACGATTCGAGTTTCCTGGTGAACAAAAATGAGCCTCTAATGCCTAATATTTTCTCTCTGACAGATGGTTTCAGATGTATGAAAGTGCTAATCCTTGCTGAGATATAGGTCTCAAGGAAGAAGAGTTTGGCTTTTAGAATGATAGGACTGGAATGATTAAGAAGGAAAATTACTCCCAGGATATTCACCATTACCATGTGAGCAACCGGCTTAAAACGAAGGAAACCAGCAGAATCGGAAAAACAATTTGAGGAAAAAGAAGAGAAAAAACTAAAAGCCCCAGGTTAACATTTGGGTTTGAAACAGTCCCGCTCAAAAAACATCTTTGGGAGTGGAAATGAAGTGCAGTAAAAGCACCTTTCTGCTCAGGAGGATCAGGGTTCCATCTGGCTCCCCCAGTCACCATTTCCAGCCTAAATGCTCCAAGAAGACTCCGGACAGAGGCCTGGGGTAGGATATATTTGCCTTGTCACTTGCTGTGTGACCTTGGGAACGTTATAAAACCTCTGAGCCTCAGTTCCCTTATTTGTAAAATGGGTATGTTTTACATACATACTTCAAGGTGAGCTTGTGCAAATGAAACGATCCAACATATGCCTAACCTGACGTATAATAGGCATGCAGTGAATTTTAACTGTAAATATGAACTAGTACTTAGCGTTGACTTCTGAGAGGACTGCTTTCATATACATGACCACCTGAGTCTCACAGGAGGCTCGGCACTTTACTATAGATGATGTAGTTATTAATATTCACAGATGAGGATACTGAGGGTCCCAGAGGTTGAGCAACTTGTCCACGGTCACAAAGCTGCACATGGCAGGATTCGAACCTGGCTCTCCCTAACCCTCGAGCCAAGTTCTTTCCACGGCACCACGTGGAGCTCACGGAGGGGGAGGTGTGTATGGGGGGGTCAGGTCACCGCACGGGGTCAGAGATCACTCACTGTAGTCTTCCAATCTCATTAGGGGTCGGAAGTAGATGGGATAGAAGGCGGCGCCGATCAGGGAGACGAAGCCGCCGAAAATGAGCGCGGTGCGCAGGTTCCGGGACATGGCGTTGCGCCCCTGGCTGCCCTGACCCGCCGACCGCCCCGCACTCTCGGAAACCTGGCTACCGACGGCCGGCCCGTGACCCCGCTCGGAAGAGGCTGAGAGGCTTTCGCTTCCGGGCCTTGGGGGAGGGACGAGGAGGAGGGGCGAAGCGGGGAGCGAGACAGGGGTGGAGTCAGAGGCGGGGCCTCATGACTGGAAGGGGCGGGGCCATGAAAGGGGTGGGGTCACAGGCGGAGCCTCGGACCCCGCCCTCCACCTTCCCCGGGCTTCCGTGCTGTGCTGGCCCGGTGCTGGCGTTGGTTTGAGGTTGGAGTTGTTTTGCTGCGCTCGATTCCCGCGGGCCCTGTTCTGTCTGCTTTCCTTCCTTCGGCCCGGTTCCTCCTTCAGCACCTCCACCCAGCACCCTCCAGACCTCCTTTACCATCCCCTTCTTAACCAGCCAGCTTTCTCGTCCATCCCCCATTAATTTCTTATTTAGCGACTGTCCGCCGTGCGCCGGATGCTCTCTGTCGCTCGCGCAATTAATCCTTGTATCAGTCGGCTTAGTTTACAGGAGAGGGAACCGCGGCTCCGCTGCGCGGCTTTGGACCACTCACTCGTCCTTCTTGAGGGAGGTTTGTACGTATGAGGGACAAAGGGACAAATCTCTGGCCCAAGAGGGCCTGCTGGGGGATTCTAAAACCGGAGCCCCGGGGCTTCTGCACCAAGACTAGCCTAGGAGGAACGTCGTTTCAGCATCCGAGCTACTCTCTTTTTCCATCCCATCCTCTCTCCCTGTTGCCTGTGCTGGGATGCCTTGGCCAAGGCAGAGAGCCATCGTCCGGTTCCATCCATGGGGCCACGGAGCACTGCCGTATTGTCTGGGTGGGGGCCACTGAGGACAGATACCTGTTTCCTCTTCCTCAAGTTGCCATCCTCTGCCCTCTGCACCTCACTGCCCTTACAGGTGGGCTGTGCCTGACTGTGACTTGCACAGGGAGACTGCGCAGCTGAGACCCAGATTCCTTGGGCCTCCACGCCTTTATAAGCCGGAATCATGCCAGCAGCTGGGCCTGGGGAGCAAAGAGGATATCTATCTTGACCCTAGCAGCATTATTTACGCCACAACAGATCTACAAGCGTTTCAAAATAGCTTGGAGAGGACAGGTTTCCTCTGTCTTTGTAATCTTGTAGTTGCATCAAGCTACCGTCTACCTCTGTGGCTCCAGAAGCATGTAAATCAGTTATCCAATCTCTCCCCAGATTCATGGACTATCTGCCATGCCCCGAACACCAGGCAGAGTGCTAAGGCGACACGAAGATGAATAAGATGTGACCCCTGCTCTCCAGGATCCTGTCGCATAGATGAAGAGATAGAACATATCCATAAAAAGATAACTAATGACCGACATGGCCTGCTGCCGACACGTGTTATGGTCCTGCGGGCTACAGAAATTCAGAGGAGGAAGACAGATGACTGCAGTGTGGCAGCTGCTCCTCGGGCACTTCCAGGAGCTTGTTAGGGTGAGGACAGAAGACTTCATAACACAGAGGGAACCTGTGACACCGGCTTTATATCACACAATAGAAAATACCCAGGTGAGGGCCGGGAACAGTGGCTCACGCCTGTAATCCCAGCATTTTGGGAGGCCGAGGTGGGTGGATCATGAGGTCAGGAGTTCGAGACCAGCCTGGCCAACATGGTGAAACCCCGTCTCTACTAAAAATACAAAAAAATTAGCCAGGTGTGGTGGCACATGCCTGTAGGCCCAGCTACCCGGGAGGCTGAGGCAGGAGAATAGCTGGAACCTGGGAGGCGGAGCTTGCAGTGAGCCGAGATCGTACCACTGCACTCCAGCCTGGGTGACAGAGTGAGATTCTGAAAAAAAAGAAAGAAAATACCGAGGAGTAGTGGGCATCTTCATTGTATCAGCCCAGTGGCCACTTCCCTTTTTTCTGTGAATAGTACCCCAAATATCTTTCTGGGACCCACTTTTTTCCCACTCTTAGTCCATGAGATAAGCTAGGGCTCCCCATCCTCATCCTACTTCTTCCCAGCTCTGAGAGTTAAGCATAAGGGCCTGACCAAGCTTCCTCGTCACAGGGATTGGTTGGCACCCAGGACTCAGTCTTGAAGTTAGTACTGATTGGGAATCAGTCCTGAACACCCAATGTAGTTGCATCCTCCTGGCCACGTGACCGAAGCTGAGCCAACCATAGTCTATCCCAGCTACTGGAAAGTTGGATTTGAACTTGAGTGAATGAGACTCGAGCTACTGGGGGCCATCATTTAGGGACTGAAAAGGAAGTCACTACAGCAGAAGGAGGGCTGAGAGATGGGGAGAAATCAGATGTTAATGTTGATTTGCGCCAGCTGTATCTCGAAGATCTACCCCTAGACTGCTCAGTAACATGAGCAATAGGGTCCCCCTTTCTCTGAAGCCAGTTTGAGTTGGGTTCTGTCTTTTACAACAGAAGGAGTTCCAGATGAAATCTCTGAGGATGTGACTCCACTTGGATAACACCTCCCTGAGCTGCAAGGCAAGGATTACTCTATTTTATAGATCTGGTCACTGACAGCCAGAGACCAGAACTCTCCTGAGGTCACACAGCATTGTCCGAGGTCTTAGCTTTTGTGATGTCTGACCTGATATGCTCCTCCATGAGATCTTGCTGTCTCCATGAGCAAGCTTGGCAGGATGGCCAGCCAAGCCCTACTCACAGGCACCTGCAAGCCAGTAAGGAGGGTTGCCAGGAGAATAGGGCATCCTGGTGAGGTACCGGGAGTGCCTCTAAGACAGAGACAAGTCCATTGGGGCAGATGAGCTTCTCCCTCTCCAAGGTGATGTGCCAAGTGACTCATGGTTTCTCTCATCTCCTTGATGCTGATCTAAAGGCGTTAGTTGACCAGCAGAAATGATTAGGTTGTCTAGATCATTCATATAGATAATTGACATCAACACACCAGAAAACAGCTACCTATCACTTACTTGCCACCAAGTCCTGCCAAATGCAAGCTCATCTCTTTGATTCCAATGTTTTCCCCATTTCTGAGAAAACCACACTCCTCCAGTTTTTCTTTTCCCACTGACCTATCAGTTAAATCAGCAAATACTTACTGTGTGCCTACTCCCACGCAAAACATTGGACTAGTTGATTGGAAACACAGAAGGAATCATTCAATATTTGTGAATTCAATAGTGGTTCATTGAGCCAGGCACAACATGCCAGACACTTTTCAGGTGCTGGCGAACACAACTGTGAGGAAAACAGCAGAATCTATTGTCCTCGTGGTGTCCACAGTCTGGTGGAGGGATAAGATGTAGCAGAGGATTGTAATTGCTTTTTGGCCACCCAGTTTCCCTTAATAAAAGCTCCTGATGTCTTTTGGAGAATGACCTCTCATCTAGGCCTTTTTGGACGGACTGCAGTTTCAGGGGCCTTGTGTATTCCTAATCAATACTAACATCAAGATTAGTAGAACACTTGCCCTCTATAGTCAGTATCACAGGTTTGCTCATTGAGTGCTCACCAATACCTATGGATAGGTATCCTCATGTTCAGAGAGGGAAACTGGGGCATACTGAGAATGACTTGGTCACGTGGCTGGTAAATGGCAGAGCCAGGATTCAAACCCAGCCTGGCTAGTTCCAGATACTGCTCTTAACCACCAATCTACAATGCTTTGTGATGTCAGGGAGCTTGTGTTGCCTGGGTGTGGGGACGATCCAACTGGATCATTTGGTCCAATTGTACTTTTTCTCCCGGAAATAAGGACCATGAAAATAGTGATGCAAAGATGGACAGCATTGTTGCAGTAGCTGTCTTCCGTTGCTAATGTTCTGATGTGATTGTCGTATACCTCCCACTTGCCTGTAATCCTGGAGCTTCCCTGGTTGTTTCCCCGTGCAATCTGATTCTTGAGTGTTCATTATATTCTGCAGGCCACCCCACATGCTTCCAATAAACTCCCTTTGGACTTAAATTGGAGTCAGTTTCAGTGGCATGCCACCAGGAGTGCTAACAGATACAGAAATTAACACAATTACCTCCTACACATGGCATGGATGAAAGCACTTGGGGCTTCATCACTGTGCTAATGTTTGGGAAAGGCAAAGGAGGTTTGAGTTTGGGGGAACGTATTTGTGCAAAGGGAGAGAGAGCTCCAGGGATGTAGGGAGATAGGATGCAAGTCAGATATGTTGGCAGCCCTAGGGTGCATATTTTCATCTCAATCACTGGGGAAAGAATTGGGTTGGGCTTCTCTCCAGCACTTTCTCCTCTTCCCTTGGATGTGAAGATTGAATGCTTGCAGGGAGCAGACCGCCAGTGGTGTATCGCACAGGGTTCAGACAGACATCAAAGTTAATCCGCTCTCTGATCTAAGCAAAATGATGATGAGGGTTTCCTGGGACAGCAGCTTTACTAATTGTGGCACTGCAGCCTAGCGAATGTATTTTTAGAATGTTGTGGATTCCCAAGAAATAATGTTCCTGGCTGTAGAAAAACAGACTTGAAGCTTGGGGCTTGAAACAGAGTGGAATCTCATGCAGAACCTCTGGGCTGGTGTTGCTGAGAATAAGAAAGTAAGTGGGGAAAATGCTTCTCTGTTTTTATGGGGTTCTGTAACTTGCTGAGTCTCTGCCCATCTATATAAGTATATATAGGTTTTTCTTCTTTGTTTGACTCTTTCCATGTAAGAGATTTCCCCAAATGTCCATCTCAGCTAATCTGTTGCTATGCTCTGCACCCCATAATTTTAAATCATGCCTTTATGACTTCCAGACTATTTGCTCTGCTGAACTCCAGCATCACTTGCCTGGTGGACAGCTTCAGGTTCAAGGCCCACTTGCTCCTACTCTTCCTCACTGTCACTGACCTTGGCTTGACTTGAGTCCTCATCAGCTCTCCCTTCCTATGGCTTCCTAACTGGTCTTGTGTGTCCTCTTCCATCAGTAAACTGTCTTATTCACAGGGTGATATGGTTTGGCTGTGTCCCCACCCAAATCTCATCTTGAATTGTAGCTCCCACAATTCTCGTGTGTTGTGGGAGGGACCTGGTGGGAGGTAATTGGGGATGGGTCTTTCCTATGCTGTTCTCATGATAGTGAATAAGTCTCATGAGATCTGATGGTTTTATAAAGGGGTGTTTCCCTGCACAAGTTCTCTTCTCTTGTCTTCTGCCATGTGAGACGTGCCCCTCACCTTCTGCCATGATTGTGAGGCCTCCCCAGCCATGTGGAACTGTAAGTTCATTAAACCTCCTTCTTTTGTAAATTGCCCAGTCTTGGGTATGTCTTTATCAGCAGCGTGAAAACAGACTAATACACAGGGTGATTAAAATTACCTTCTGAAGACATAGATCTGGTCCATCACTGCCCTGACCAGAAGCCTCAAGTTATTGTCAACAGGTCATTAAAGGTACCCACTGCATCCATGCGCCTCTGCTGAGTGAGACAATGGTTCTCTGTATCTAGGTTGCTGTGCTCTGTGCCTGTGGTCACAGCTGATGGAGCCATGTGGATGTCTGACCCAGACCAGAGTTAAAGGTCAGAACCTCTGCCTAAGTGGAGAATGGGCTGACCTAATCAGATTCTCTGTTTCTGGAACTTCAACTGGAAAACCAGGGAGAATCAGGAGGTCAGCCGAAGGAACAGACGGTGGACAGATGCACAAAGAAACACAGTAGCAGCTTGAGGGGAGCTGTGAGTAAGCCGTGGTTATGAGTCAGCAGAAGCTGTGAGAAGAAAGCTCTTAGCGAGTAGATGGGGTGGGAATTGCCTGGGAATACAGGAAGCAGAGAACACTGGAGGAGAATTAAAATGAAGATCCACAAACTCCTCCTGCTGAGAAGTAACAAGATACCTCAAGCCCTGCGACTGCCTGGGATTCATTTATTCATTCACTATTTTCTACCATTTTTGTGGAGCACTCACTATATGCCAGGAACTCTTCTAAGCATTATACAGTCTTTGTTATCATGGAGCATATATTCTAGTTGGGGAGGCAAATGATAATTATATATATATATATATATATCCTTTTTTTTCTTTTTTTTGGAAACAAGAGTCTCACACTGTTGCCCAGGCTAGAGTGCAGTGGTGAGATCTTGGCTCACCCGCATCCTCTGCCTCCCGGGCTCAAGCAATTCTTGTTCCTCAGTCTCCCGAGTAGCCGGGACTACAGGCACCCACCACCATGTCCAGATAATTTTTTGTATTTTAGTAGAGATGGATTTCACCATGTTGCCCAGGGTGGTCTCAAACTCCTGAGTTCAGGCAATCCACCCACCTCAGTCTCCCAAAGTGCTAGGATTATAGGCATGAGCCCCTGCACCTGGCGCATATATATATATATATTTTTTTTTTTTTTTTTTCCTGAGACAGGGTCTCGCTCACTCTGTCGCCCAGGCTGGAGGGCAGTGGTGTGACCGTGGCTCACTGCAATCTCCAACTCTTGGGCTCAAACCATCCTCCCCGCTCAGCCTCCGAGCTGGAAGCATAGGTGCACGCTACCACACCCGACTAATTTTTTGTATTTTTTTTACAGATGGGTTTTTTACCATGTTGCCCAGGCTGGTCTTGAACTCCTAGGCTCAAGCAATCTGCTCACCTTGGCCTCCCAAAGTGCTGGGATAACAGGTGTTAGCCGCCACACCGAGCCAGATTTTTTTAAAAGGCAATAATACTGTGTTGGGAAGAAAAATAGAGCAGGCAAGAGCACTGTGGCAGGAGGAAGCAGTCACCCTTGAGGAGACCACAGAGACCTGAGTGAAGAGGAGGGAGCCATGTAAATATCTGGAAGAACAATCCTGGTGGCAAGACCTATGAGTGCAAAAGTGCCGAAGCCAGAGTATGCTGTTCAAACATCAGTGAGGAATCCAGTGTGGCCAGAACAGAGTGAGTGAAGGAGGCAGTGAAAGGAAATCAGATCATTGAGGTAGCCAGGGCAAGCGCACCATGCTGTGGGCCCCACAGACCATGTGAAGGGCTTAGGATTTTGCTGTGCCTGTGATAGGCGGCCACTGGGGGATCTTGAGCAACTTCCAATTCCGGTGTCTCTCTGGGAGGTCCAGCTGCTCTTTAGTTTTTATTCTTTCCACAGATTCTTATCTCCCAACTCATAAAATCCCATTGTTTCCCATAAAGCCCCTTTACCTGGAAGAGCAGGAATGAGTTTTCCTTCCTGGCAATGAAAAGAGCCTGTCCCCAAAGCCACCATGATTTGGAACGAGCAATCGTCTCAGCTTGGCTCTAGCCCATTTCTCCCAGCACCCTGCTTAGGCAGCTCTGGTCCATTTGCCAGGTGCCGTCTGCAGCCTACCTTTACCCCACTCTGGCTTCTGCTCTAACTCATTCCTCTCTTTAGAATGACCTTCTCCTGTGAGTCTCTTGTCACAGACGTTCCCTCCAAGGATATTCTCAAATCCCACGTCTTCTAGGAGCCCTTCCATGATCACTTGACTTGAAAAGAACTCTCCTCTCCTAAACTCCTGTTTGGTTTATCTATGGCTACATAACTAACTATCCAAAACTTAGTGCTTAAAGATGAAAACAACAATTGTATCATCTCTTGCAGTTCTGTGGGTTGACTGGGCATTCTGCATCACAAGGTGTGGCTGGGCACTGGAACAGCTGAAGTCACCTGGGAGCTGACTGAGTTGGACTGTCCGGGATGGTTCACTCCTACGGCCAACAGTGGATGCTCAACTGGGGCTGTCAACTGGAGCCCCCATAGGTAACATCTCCCAGCATGGCAGCTCGGTTCCAAGAGGGAGTGCCCCATGAGAATCAGGAAGCAGCTGCAAGCTTTCTCGTGGTTTTGCCTTGCAAGACACCCAGAGTTGTTTCAGCCTCATTCTGTTTGTCAACAGGTCACAGTTTCAAGGAGGAGGGGAACTCCAGCTCTTGATGAAAGCAGTGATAAGGAATTTGCAGATCTTGTTAATCTATTGCAGCTTTCATGGTGTTTTTTTCCATTTACTGATTATATAATAGTGTTTGTCACTTTTTGCGAAGTGCCACATATTACAATTAAGTGTCTCTTTATCTCACAGGCTAGATTTTCAACTTCTGGTGAGAGATTGCATTTTTTTTTTTTTTTTTTTTTTTGAGACGGAGTCTTGCTCTGTCACCCAGGCTAGAGAGCACCGATCTTGGCTCACTGCAACCTCTGCCTCCCGAGTAACTGGGATTACGGATGCCTACCACTCCAGGCTAATTTTTGTATTTTTAGTAGAGACAGAGTTTCGCCACCTTGGCCAGGCTGGTCTCAAACTCCTGACCTCGTGATCCACCCGCCTCGGCCTCCCAAAGTGCTGGGGTTACAGGCGTGAGCCACCGCGCCCGGCCAAGAGATTGCATTTTATTTAACCCAACTCTTTCAGTGCCATAGCTATAATAACAACAAACACATATTAAGTTCCTCTACCATGTGTTTGATCCCATCTAACTGAACACATGATCTCATCTCATCCCTACCCTGGTAGAATAGATGTCTCATTTTCCAGATTGGGAACTGAGGCACAGAGAGATTCAGCTTTGCCCAAAACCACATAGTGGACAAGGGGCAGAGCCAGGATTTGGACCGCTTAAGAACCTGTGTTTTTATTCTCTCTCTTCTAGTGCCGTCTTACAGTCTTGGCACCATCTTAGTAGCTTCAGGCTGCTACAAAAAGTTATCATAAGCTGCATGGCTTAAACAACAGATGTTTATTTCTTATGCTTTCGGAGGTTGGGAAGTTCAGGACCCAGGTGGAGGCCGACCCCATGTCTTTCTGGGAGGTCCAGCTGCTCCTGGACCAGATAGTGCCAACACAATACTTCTTATTGTGTTATGATTGCCTGCAGCAGGTGAGGGCCTGCTTCCTATTTTCCAGATGGCCGTCTTCTCATTGTATCTTAACATGGTGGAAGGAGGGTGAGAAAACTCGCTTGTGTCTCTTTTTATAAGGGCAGTAATCCAGTCACGGGGGGCTCACCTTTA